GATGGATGGATGGATGGATGGATGGATGGATGGATGGATGGATGGATGGAACTACCACTAAAGTGCCTCAAACCATTGCACCCTGACAATCAGCTGTCCTTGTTGTGATCCAGCTCAAGCCTTCACAGATAGGTCTTGAATCCAGATCCTGACAGGTGTATTCAGTGATGCCAGTAAGGTAGAGCAGTGTTGTTGAACTGCTTAACCAGTGAAGATGCAGAAGGGAATCATCAAATAACACATTGTCTTCTATAAACTGAACATGGAGAAGTATAAATATATTGGGACAAAATACAATAGGTCTTGATGTCATCTTTCTTGGCACTATATGATAATTAATACAGTGGTGCTGCCACAAATGGATATTCAAATAATAAAATAATCAAGCTTTATTCCCAGTGTCATATTTCTGTATTGAACTTTTTTTGAATTTCCCAGTGTCAATACCTCCTAGCTCCTTGCGGGGGCGCTGAATTAGAGAAACCTGATCAGAAGTTAATCAGCCAAAGAAGAAAAACTTGATCGGAGCAGAAGGATAATGTCAAACAATGCTTCAGAAAAGTTCCAGATAATTCAACTTTATTTAAGTGCTGTATTACAATAATACTGCTGACCATACATTTAAAATCTAAGTTGTTTTTCTTTCGGCTGCTCTTTTACAGGGGGTCGCCACAAACTTGCATGAAAGATCTGGCAATCGTTTTGTACCGGATGCCCTACCTGACGCAACCTGGGATTGAATTCACAACCTTGGGATTACAGGACCACAACACTGGCAGATCAACCTAGTGCATTCCCTAGTGTTATAGATCTACTGTATATCAAATCATACCCTATCCCCCAATTGCTCCCCGAGTGCTTTCGATAGCTGCACACTGCTCCACCTGGTGGTGGATGGGTTAAATGCAGAGAGCCAATTTTGCCATTGTATAGAAACATACAATAATGACAACACATAAATTATTATTATTATTATTATTATTATCATATTTTGAGATACACTGCAACAAGAAATTCAAACATCCCAGTGCACTTTGGTGCACAAATTTTCTTGTGCGTCACAAACTGGAGGTCTCCATTAGCCCATCATGTTCCGACCTTGCTTGGTAATCTGACCCTGTGCCGACAATTCATCCCCATTTTCTTCCCTTTCAAAATTATAATACAGACAACAGTTAAAGTGTGACGTTTGGCCTGGAGAACCCTAGTTAACTTGGATACTTAAATTCCAGCCATATTTAATCAAAACTTATTTGCAGTGTAACCTATGACCTCTTCACTTGTTACTCCTACATTTTTGTGAAGCCATTTTGCTTGAGGGTTTTCTAGATGAGCGATTCTTATATAGTGAATTTCATGTTTGCCCAGTCTACCAGTGTCCATCATTCTGCTTTCACAAATCTGTTTTTTCTATTTTAAAAGAATCCAGAAGAGCAAAAACAACCTGTTCTCGTGCACTATTTGATAACGCAAAATGAAACGGCTCACAGAAACTACAGGCACCCCAAACAGCAGTTGTTACAAAAGGAGGAAAAAAGAAAAGGACGGATGTGTCACAGCCTTATAAAAGAAAGATTTCATTAATCAACAAAACAAGAGGGAGACCTTAGTATTGATGGGAATTCATTTTGCAGGGGGTGTCACTTCTATTCACCCTTTCTTCAGTTAAATGCATGAGCCACTGGTTCCTTAGCAACAGTCTCTGCAATGATGCAACATTGAAGAGGAACAGATCTGCAGCTCCACAGTGCAGGTGAAGACAAGTCAGTCAAGGTCTGCTCTTCAAAGCCTCTTAAAATTATGGTTAATAGGGAAACTGCATCTCAATTACCCAGATGAAAAAGTACAGACATTTTTTATCCAACTGCAGACAGGTTTTATCAGAAAGATTCAAACATCTTTTATGCTTTTTGACAAAAAGTCTAATGTTAGATAACAAATTCACTATGTTGCTTTGTGCTTGTAAAGCAAAATGCACTTTAAATATATTAAAAATGTGGTAAATAAGTTAGTCAGCAGTTTGTTTGAATGTGCCTAGTCATTTTAAGATGGCTTTGGTCTCAAACACCGCAAGATACCTTCATTAAATCATAAAAATGCCACCTGCATCATGAAGGACCCCACTCACCCAGCACACACACTTTTTGCCCCGCTCCCCTCAGGAAGGAGGTTAAGGAGCATTAAGTGAAGAACCACTAAACTGAGGAACAGCTTCTACCCTGAGGTTGTTAGACTCATGAATCTCTAACCAGAATAATCACTGTGAAAAAAAATCACATCATGTTGCTGCTGATCTGCTTCATGTTGCTGCTGATCTGCTTCATGTTGCTGCTGATCTGCTTCATGTTGCTGCTGATCTGTTTCATGTTGCTCCTGATCTGTTTCATGTTGCTGTGTTCATTTGTGCTCATCTGCTCACACAGACTCATGTTCGTGCTGCTGTTCGGCGTATTGTGTTTATTGTTTTTATGCTATTAGTGCTTAGTGTATTTTTGCTGATGCTTTTCTTAGTTCATATGTCATATGTTCATATATTCATATCATAGTTCATGAAATCAGGTCTCTCTTGTAAATGAGTCCTTGAGGCTCAATAGGATTTACCTGTCTAAATAAAGGTTGAATGAAAAAAAAAATCTTAGATCTTATTACTGTTTTTCTTTTACATGTTGTTGTTGGATGCAACTGGGACCCTGTATACATAATTTCATTCCACCACATGTACCACATGTGGTGCGAATGACAAAGAATATCTGAAAATTTAACATGCTACACATTTTTCAGACAGTAAAATCACATTTCTTGTCTTTCCTTTAAGTTCAATAATCAGAAAAGTGCCACCCCAATGTCGTGGAACAACGAGAAGCTACAACCTACTCCATCAGACATGACTCAGTAATTCTGAATTTATTGGCTCCCTGACTTTTTATTCTTACGCCATCTCAAATCTCAATCAGCAAATGTACAGCTTGTTTGTGGGCACTATGCAGAAAAGTGTGAATTCTCAAATGACAAAAAAAACAACAAAAAAAAAAACACAGGCCTGAGTGAGAACAAACAACAAAAGTTCAGTTTAGCACCACAAAAATGTGCCTGTTTCAAATTCACAGCACCCGACAGAGGAATATTAGTTTTCCTTTTGGTCAAATCGTTTGCTCTGAGATGAAACAAATAAACTGAGTGAATGATCAACCGTTTTCTTTTTGTTTTGTTTTTAAGAGCGCATCTGAGAAAAGGCTCACCTCCTCAAGAGGCAGACAAAAAGAAGTGTTTTCAATGAAAATAAAAAAGTTGATACCATTCATTCTTTTTTTTTATTATTATTATTATTTCCATTCTAGACTGACTGTGCCTCAATGTATCACTGTCATGTTTTAGGTCTTGCAATGACCTTTTTTGCAGTAAATTCAAATAAATAAAAAAAACATAACACTAACTCGGAATGTATAGGGTTGCACATGCTTTCACTAATATCATCTCATAAAATCTGTAATTTCTGCTTTGTTGAAACAATAAATCAGTTGGACTGTAAGATCATCATAAACATCTTGATTCCAAACGTATCCATACGCACGGGGTTGAGTATACTCTTCAAGACCTTTGGCAGCCCAGTTGTGATCGACATTAAAGTCACAACAAGAAAACGGTTGCATGACACACGAGAAACCGCTACCATAATTGAGCACGTCTGCATGTGGCAGTGCATCATCTCCAGCTGACACAACGCTGTTTCTCTGCACACGTCAACAGGGAGGTCTGGATCAGTCATTGTTAGCATTCCCTGGAAGTTTGGCACCGTGTTGGACTGCCACTGAGACGAAGGACACGGTCACGGAGCGGTGGTCGGTACCATCTCCGAGGAGCATCAGCTCTGCTGGAAGTGCTGTTCCTGCATTGTTAGTCAATCAATAGTTTCTGGGCAACATTTCACATTTGGCAACCTCTGCGTTGCACTATCTAAAACAAAAATCTGACTCCCATCACAGGTCCAGTTGGAGCAGAAGCAGATCCCAGAGTTAATTTCCAGGGCACTGATTAGAAATAGCTTCTGCTCGTGTTATTGTTCTGACTGCAGAGGATGGGTGCAGTTCGATCCCTGAACAGGACTACAGATCAGCTACGCCCCCATCCTCCAAGAAGGACTGTTGACAGTGGGCTGTGCCTAAAATGACATGGTTACCAGTAATCAAAAGGGACATGTGGTCCCCAAACCCCCTTCAATGAATGAAAGTAACGGTTTCCTCACCTTCGATGGAGATGACGTGCTCCCTGATCTGGTTCTGCAGGGCCAGGTCATCGATGCGCTCGATCAGGTCGTAGATGGCGTAGATGTTCGGGTGGACGGACTCGAACCGGTGGATCTCTGCTCTGATGGCCGCCGAGTTGGACAAAACGAACTGCGAGCCGGCCGAACCGGGCTGCGCTGCCTGGCCCGACACAGTCCCCGAACCGAACTGGCCGGCTCCCGAGCTGGCGCCGGACGATCCGGATCCGAACTGGGACGGGATGGACTGGGGCACGGGGACCGGGACGGGCGCGGGGACCGTGCCCGGAGCGGGCATGGCCGGCTGGGACTGCTGCGAGAGACCGGACACTGGGACGCCCGACTGGAAATTCATTCTTGGGGGTGGGGTGGGGAGGGGGGTGTTCTTGTGAATATTCTTTCTCTGGATTCTTCTAAATCAAATCAAACCTGCACGCACTGGAAACTGGTCAGGCGAGGCGAACAAAAGAAGTTCGCGCGACGTGCTCGGTCCAGGAACGCGAACGGCGCAGACGCATCAATGGTTTGGTGTCCAGCTGCAACAAAACGCGCCTCATTTGATTAAAACTTGACCGTGATTCATTTTCCGCTATCGGCCAGGTCTGCCCAGGGCCTTTCTCTCTCCCTCCCTCTGTGCTCGCCTTACAAACCCGCAGTGCAGCCACTCGGACACCTCCCACACCGCCGGAGCTGCTCGCTTTCAAGGAGACAATGGGCTTGAGCCAGGCGCCCGCTCCACGACGCGCACCCGCCCTGAACGCTGTTGTTCCTCCGCTCAAATGAAATAGTGTTTTGGTCCTCTTCAGTCCAAGTGCTCCCAGCCCAGAGCACCTCCTCCTCCTCCGTCCCTCCCTCCTCCGCATGCTAAAACGTCACCCAACGCGTAATTTCACTTGAGAATGACGGGGGAGGGAGGTGCGATTGGATTTCTGGTGAAATGGTGAAAAAAATCACAACGTGAACGCCATCACAATACCTACTGATGGTTATGCAACCACGATACATAAACACATAAACAACAGCAAAATATATATTATTAGTCAGGAGCGTCAACAAATGGGAGCAAAGTTGGGGGGTGGTGGGGGGGGGGCAGCTTCACAGTTTTATCCGTGCGTTTGCAATTTCCCCATAGCTGTTTGAAATCCCTCACAAAAAATCTGGTTTTGAATAATTTAATATAAAAGAAATGTGATTTTTCAAATAAAAACAACTAAATGAAGAAGTAAAACATAAATGTTTAATCTTCCTGAACTGATCCAAGCTGCACGTGAAATATTATAGAGCAACAAGACAATGTGCAGGGTCTCAGAAGGTTCTGTTGTATGTACTTTTTATTAAATATATATAAATTTAAACAAAAAGAGGACACGCTTCAGTAAACTGAACAGGGCATTTGTCTACTTTTCTTCACCCTCTTCCTTTCCAGGTTGCAGGGGATACTGGTGCCCAGCAGTCACAAGTTGTGAGAGGCAGGCCACACCCTGGACAGGTTGCAAGTGCTTTGCAGGACAACACACAGACAACCATTCAAACCATCGCTCACAACAATTTAGAGTTATCAGTTAGCCTTACATGCATGTTTTTGATCTGTGGGGGGGACCAGAGCGCCCAGAGAAAACCCATGTAAACACGGAGAGAACATACAACTCCACCCAGAAAGGTCCCAGGTCAGGATTCAATCCAGCAACCCTTTTTGCCGAAATGCAACAGCTCTTCCAACTGAGCCTCCATGCCACCTGTTAGTAATATGAACAGTAAAAATTAAAAATAGTAGTAAGCCTATATCAGATTGTTAGTTTTGTGTGCCACCCCAAGATCATCAGGGGCCCCCACCTGGCCACCACTTTAAAGCTTTCTGAAAGTTTCTATTATTAGCTGATGCCAAGATTACATTAAGGGTCAAGGTGGTGCAGGAAAGAACAACCTTCACATCAATGTGAAGAAGATGAAGGAGATGGTCGTGGACTTCAGACAGAGCAACACTCCACCCCCCCACCCCAACATAGGAGAATCTGCGGTGGAAGTGGTCTCCAGATACAAGTACTTGGGTGTGCCACCTGAATGACAACCTCAGCTGGAGCAACAACACCACCAGCCTGATCAAGAAAGCTCATCAGAGACTCTACTTCCTCAGGCGGCTGAGACGAGCTGGTCTGGGAAGCTCAGTCCTCACCTCCTTCTACAGGTGTGCAGTGGAGAGCATCCTGTGCTCCAGCATCAACGTGTGGCATGGAGGCTGCACAGCTGCAGAAAGAAAAGCTTTGCAGAGAGTGGTGAAGGCTGCACAGAAGTCTGTCGGAGTCAGCCTCTCCACCATCACAGATATTTACATCTCCAGATTCAGGAAAAGAGCCACCTGCATCATGAAGGACCTCACTCATCCAGCACACACACATTTTGCCCCGCTCCCCTCAGGAAGGAGGTTGAGGAGCATTAAATGTAGAACCACTAGACTGAGGAACAGCTTCTACCCTGAGGCTGTCAGACTCATGAATCTCTAACTAGGATAATCACTGAAAAAAATCACATCATGTTGCTGCTGATCTGTTTCATGTTGCTGCTGATTTGTTTCATGTTGCTGCTGATCTGTTTCATTTTGCTGTGTTCATGCGTGCTCATCTGCTCACACAGATTCATGTTCATGCTGCTGTTCGGCGTATTGTTTTTATGCTATTAGTGCTTAGCATATTTTTAGTTAACGTTTTTCTTAGTTCATATCTTAGATCTTATTACTGTTTTTCTTTTACATTTTAATACTTTTGTTAGGTGTAACTTGGACCCTGTGTACACAATTTCGTTCCACCTCATGTACCACATGTGATGTTAATGACAGTAAAGAACCTTGAATCCTTGAATGTCCAAGGTTCTTTGTTGTCATTCGCATCACATGTGGTCCACACATGTGTACACAGGGTCCCAGTTACACCCAACAGAAGGATAAATTGTAAAAGAAAAACAGTAATAAAGATCTAAAACTACAAGAAATATGCTAAACTAAGAGATAAGATATAATAAACATTAAGTCAAGTCAAGTCAATTTTATTTATAGAGCACATTTAAAACAGAACCTGTTATCAAAGTGCTTAATAACAACAACAACAATCCATGAGTAAAATTAATGAGAAAAAAAATATATATACAATACACTAATAATAATAACTGCAGAATTAATAAAAAGCATTTAAAACAAAGGGTCACAGATTTAAAAAAAACACTAGATCAATTTACATTAAGTGCAAAACAATACGCCGAACAACAGCAGCACGAACATTAAGCTTTTAAGGTAGCAACAAATTCAATATTTAAGACTTAAGATGTTTTATGCTGTTGTTTTCCTTTACCTTAATTTAATCAGGCAAAATCCCATAGAGGTCACAGATCCCCTTTTCAAGGGAAGCCTGGACCTGAGGGTAGTCTAAATACACACGTTTTGGACTGTGGGAGGCAACAGGAACCTGGAGAAAACCCACGCAAACACGAGGACAACATGTACCATAAACTCCACTCAGAATAACCCCAGGTTCGATCTGGGGATTGAACCCAGCAGCTTCTTCCTATGAGGCAACAGTGCTAACCACTTATCCAACGTGCTGCTAAACAAATAAGACATATATATATATATATATATATATATATATATATATATATATATATATATATACTTGATTGTTCAGTGTTCTAGACATAAGTATGCCCTATTTGTATCATGCATCATGCTAAATCAGAGCTGTGAAAATAAGTTAACTAATTGTAAACAGGATATGTTTATGATGTATTCAGCTATAATTCATCAAATGTTTTTAAATGACTAGAAAAGTAAAATAAAAATAAAAATAAATAAAGATAAGAAATGACTTTTACTTGTTAAACTTTCCTCACACAGAGCCAGAGTTGCCTGCTGCTTTGAGTGCTTATTACAACAACAGCTGCTGGTTTCCAGATGACTGTCTCTGTCAGTCAAGATCTGTTGCAGCAGTCTGCTTCTTTTTAATAAAGGCTGGTTCGAACACAAAAATGTAACTTCTAAATCATCATAACTCAAGGTTAGTTGTCTTAATTTTTACAGACTAAGCTTTGAAAATTAAGCTTTATATAGCTAATGAGAAATTGTCACATTAAGTCATTTAAATATTATACAACCAACATTAATAAATCTCAGGCTGTCAGCCTTCAGACTGCCTGCAGCTCTGAAACTACTTTCCAACACATTAATAATCGAGTGTGCAATTGCCATTTGTTTGTATTATTCATGTTACAGATGAACTTGTCTTTCAGAACTGGCATTCATTTTGCTTTTAGTATTCAGTGGTTTGAAGTATAAGTTTATAATTAAAAGTACACCTTTCGTTTGTTCCTCTTTTTTAATCAATAAAATGCCAACAGTTCATGCTAAATAGATGCTCTTCACCTGTTCATGTAATTGTAGATTGGTGCATGTTTATGTAATTATATTCAACTGATTCATTATGTACCACATCCTGTTATGACTGCAGAGAGGATAATGCACATTACAGAACAGCTGCAATGTGACACATAATTTATTATTTTTTTTTTATTTTTTGGTGCAACAGCAGTGTGTCAGAACAATTTTAAATTCGGTTCCAAGTTGATCCCATCGCTTTGAAGATTGTGATCAATATTTATGATTTCCATAATGAATGATGCTGTTCCAAGTAAACAAGTTGCTTTGCTATGAGTGTTGTCACCAAATTTCACAGAACAGACAGGCTTCAGCTTGCTTTTGAAGATGCTAACTGAATAGGATTTTCTGGAATCACTGTGGTACATAATGGAAAATAAAACAAGCACAGGGTCTGGTTTCCTGCTGCATGCTCAATAATCCAGGCTCAACAAACCAGGGTCTGGATGTTTCCTTTTGCCTACTGCTGCCATCTGCTGGACAAAATGTAAAACTTCACTTTAAAAATCCGATGTTCATCTAATCTGATGATGTTTGATGCTAAACCAAACATCCAATCCCACAAAACACAAAATCCAGATAATGCATTGCCGAACAGGTATCAGATATCCCCCCAAAAATGTATATATATAATAATCTCAGATGAATCAGAGCAGATTTGTTTGCATGAAGAAAAAGAATATTATTAAAGAGAAAGGTTACAGGGGAGCGTTGGAGCAGATAGAGAAAGAAAGCTTGTGATTGTTAAGTCGCCGATTCGTATCCCCTGACTGTAACATCAAAATGTGGGTGGGAAAAGTGAAGCAGTGAGTGTAGGAACACAATCAGAAAATAAATAATAATAATAATGTTTACTTTGTTAATTTCCAATACGGAAAAAATCATTCTCTGCTTTTTTCCCATCAGAGGGCTGGAGTGTTGAGAGCATTGCTCAAGAGCCCACGGTGAGGCAAAAAGAGTTGAAGGCCGATGTTGGACTTCTTCTTTCTTTCCCAAATATTTTATGCTGCTCTAGATTGGGATGCACGATATTATTGGCATGGTATCGGTATCGGCTGATATCAGCGATAAAGTTAAATATTGGACATCGGCCATTCCATCAAAATAACTCACCGATATAAAAGGCTTCTGTTTTAAGTTAATTTTTAATTTAAGAAACTGTCAAGTATATCTATTAATGCACTACTACTTATGTGATGTAGCTGCGTTGTCACTTGTGAGCAGGTTGAGTTTAGATTTGTGAAAATTGACAAATTTGCACTGTTCGAATGTTGTCATTGTGTTAGAGAGTAAGTATCATGAATAAATTTGACATTAAGCATAATCCAAGTTGAAGTGTTACATCATTTTCAGCCCC